GTGGGGGGTGGGGGGGGGGGCCGCGCCCCGTCCCCGGGGGGGGTGGACGTTGGGGGGGGGGGGCGCGTCTCCATGGAGACGCTGTTGCGTTGGGTCCGGGGCGGGGGGAGCGCTCAGCGACGGGCGCGGGGTCACCCTCCCCTCCCCCCCGGCGACCAAGCCCGCGGGGCCCGAGACTCGCATATGCCTGGGAGTGGGGCGCTCCCGGAGGGAGCTCGGACCTCCATCCTCGGGCTGTGCCTGCCATTGTGTGCCTCCCTCTGTGTGCAGTCTGTCCTCCGCCTTGTTTTTGCTAGCCCGAACTGGCAGCGAGCGCCAGCGGCCAAGGAAAAGGAGCCAGGCTTTGGACAGGTGTTCGGCCCCTGCCGCTTTTATCGCCTCCAAAAGCCAGCAAAATCTTTAGCCAGCTGGCAAAAGGCGTCCTCGGAAATTTAACCATGGTTGTCAAAATGCAGCTCCGGGGAGAGAGAAGCAAACATCGAGGGTTATCCCATGTCGCGGTTGGAGACGACGAGCGGCGGCACTGTTTGTTTTTTAATGGCACCCATTCATTTAATTCCTTTAAGTCAGCTCTGTCGGCAGCCTCCCCCCCACCTCCGGCACAGGAGCCAGCGTGTGGCACCCGAAGGCATTATGTTGGACACGCGTGCCTCTGGGTGCATGGCAGGGAAAGGGCTGGGGCTGCACAGCAACAACAAGGGTGCCCCACCTCCCTCCAAAGCTCTCCTGCCCCAGGAGCCAAAGTCTTATAAGTTGAAGTTGCAGGCATTTGGCACTCTGCCCAAAAGCATTGCTGACCCCTGCTCTGCACAGGCTGTGCGATGCTGCACACAGCCAGTCAAGTAGCGAATGATGGAGCAAATGATCTTTTTTTTTTAATCTTCATTGCAGTGTGACATTTAATATAGCGTAGGCAAAGTCAGTTTGTCCATGATGCTTTTGTTTTGGCCAGCTGGGAGGATGCTGGCAGCATGTGGATGCAGCCCATGGGTTAGAGTTTCTTTTCCTTTGGTCCTAGACTAGTGTTTTGAAGAGGTTCCCAGGAAACCAGACATACTCGCTCGCCCAGAGTGTTCTGACTTGTTTGTCTGGTTAAATACCTGTCACGATGCTGGAGACTCTCAAGCCTGCAAGTAATCCTGCTGTACATACACTGTGTCTGGCACAAGCACTTGAAACACTCCGAAAATAATTCAGTTTATTTAATCTGCAGTAGCATACAGATCTGCACAGGGACCTTGTGTGTTGTGTTCTCACCTGGTTTGTAATTGGGAAAGCTTTGTTGACTAAACAAAATGATAATTTGAAGCATTATTGGGGTAGTGAATACTATGAAAATGAAGTTAGCAGGAACAAAACTGCAGCTCTTGAGCCTTTTATCGTGCTTTTCTAGGAACCTTATTTGAACTGAACTCTGGCTAAGTAGACAGGATGTTTAAGTAGTAGTGAAGGACTGATAAGAGTTAGAAATGATTCCTCCTGTCACTTGAAGGCTAGCACCCCAAACTGGCAGATTTGTTGCAGCGGAAATCGTAATCCAAACTATTGCTTTTTGCGGTAACAATCACTTGTCAGACAGGAATAAGAATAGTTGTTCAGTGCCTGCATTGAATGTTGTCCACTGTAGCAATGCTGGAAGTTGTGTAGCATCTCAAACGTCTGATGCATTCTTTACATGACACATGTCCAGGTTTGCTATGAAGCTTAATTTCCTAATGATTTAATAATTCCTAAAACTGATAATTTCCTCCTAGTAACTTCTTGGGCCCAGATCCACAGAAGGATTTATATGGAAGTGGGATCTACACAGACATTTAAATTCCGAAAGTCCAAAGTGCAGTCTTTAACCCCTCTGTCTAACCCAGGAAGCCCTTAAGTTTTTCATTAGTAAAGGTCTCCAGATGCTTAAAAGTTCTGTGCCTGTACCTGTTGTAACAGGATGCGGACTGATGGTGGCAGTGATAACCCTGGATACCCACCTTAATCCTGCCCTGCTTGCTCCAGCCTCTTGTGACCCTTGCCCTGTCACTTCGCCTGCCGCACCTTGATGGTATTAATGCAGAAGGGAGGCTGTCTTCCAAGGCGCTCTCTTTATTCTGTCCCTTCTTGAGCTCAACTTAGCCCAGTTGGTTCAGGGCCCCACTGTCTACTATCTCTCAGCTTTGGGGCTCCAGTCTTGCTGACCACAGCCCCATAGTTTTGGGCCTCTGCCCTGCCACCCACAGTCTCTCTGGAGCCCTGGCTGCCATCAACACCAGCTCCCCCTGTGGGTTTCCAACCCCTCCGGCTACCAGTTCTGTACTGGGGAGTTCATAGATTCATAGATTCATAGATTAAGGTTCGGAAGGGACCTAGTAGATCTTCTAGCCCGACCCCCCGCCAGGGCGGGAGAACAACAAAAACCCCAAAAAACAAGAACCGGGACTCAAATGAGTCCAGCCAGGTAGGCATCCAGCCTCTTCTTAAAGACCCCCAGGGTAGGGGCCAGCACCACTTCCCTTGGAAGTTGGTTCCAGCTCCTAGCCGCCCTAACTGTGAAGTAGTTCTTGTGGATGTCCAATCTATACCTCCTCTCCATCAGCTTGTGCCCATTACTCCTTGTTATGCCAGCGGGCGCTAGGGGAAACAGCGTCTCCCCCAAACCCTTCTGGTCCCCCCTAGTGAGTCTATAGACAGTCACCAGGTCCCCCCTTAGCCTTCTCTTGTGGAGGCTGAATAGGTTCAGGTCCCGCAGTCTCTCGCTGTAGGGTCTGCCCTGTTGTCCCCGGATCATGCGGGTGGCCCTCCTCTGGACCCCTCTGTCCCAGTTACCTTACGAGCTAAATTGGTTGTCTCCGTCCTCCCCTACAGCCACATCCATGCCTTGTGGATGTTATTTTGCCAATGCTGTTTGCCTCTGTAGGGGCCTCAGCCCCCTTAGTTTGGCCCACCTTTTTTCTGGCTTCAGAGCTCCAGCTCTGGGCCACTTGTTCTGGCCCCTTGGCCCGTTTTGTTGGGCTGCTAACAGTTTGCCTCAGCCTTCTTGATGCCCCTGGCCCAGGATGAGGCTGTTCTTGTTTCAGCCCCCCATGTTCCTGACTGGTTCTCAGTCCAGCCCCACCTCCCTGGTGCACTGACCGAGGGTAAGGAGGCTGTCTCAGTATGCCACCCCTGGCCCCTGAACTGGGTTCAGCCCACCTGAGTCCTGGATTCTGCAGAGGATGCTATCCCCAGCCTCTAAATGGGTGTCCCTCAGGCATCCCTGTGGCTTCCTGTCCACCTCTTTCAGCCACATTCAGTCCTCCAGTGCTCTGCCAGCTATAGGTAACCCCCTTCTGGGTCTTTCCAGCCCCCTAGCCACCTCCTACTTTTTTGCTGCTAGGTCTGTAGCAGCTCCTTAGGTACCTGGTTGGTTGGGTTCCTCTTCTGTTATCTCTCAGGTTGGCCTGATTACATGGCTCAGCCCCTCAGCCTGCTCTCAGGTTTTGCACCTTAAGCCCTGAGCCACAGCTGCTGTCTCCTCCCTTGTTGCAACCCTTATGGGTTTCCCTGGCTGTATGTTGTGCTGCAGCTGACTTTTGCCCAGCTGTCTACCTAACTGCAGCCCTTTGGTGCTGGTTCCCTACCTCTCAAGTAGCAGGGTTTAGGAGTCTCTGATACAAGGCCTAGAAGTATCTCAGTCTTCTAGGTACTGAGCAGCTAAAAGCCTATCAGGATCAATGAACTAGGACTAATTAAGAGATATGAACCAATACAGAAGTATCCTAAGGGAGGAGGTTCACCAATAACATAACCAAGAGAAGGTGGTGGTGGCCCTCATTTCTGGAAAATACCATATTTACTCAAATATAAGACAAAGTCCCCCTCCTATCAGCATGGAGAGAAGAAAACCCATCCTAGTTAAAAAACTAGGCGACTGTGGCATCGA